GAATAATGAGGGATCTTCTCCAGGCAGAAACCTATAGTGTTGCCCTGGGGTGGGAAATTCGGATCCAAAGCATGAAGTTATTCTCCTCTCCCTGTAGTCATATTGCCCTCATTATTCTTATCATCTCCATTTGAGAGGGCTCAAACTTGGGATGGTATGCACAGAACTGCTTTTATTTTTCTATCAGAATGATGCCGACATAAATTGTATTTATTTCTATCTTAAAACTTGCCTTCCTGGCTAAAAATAACTGATTTATTTGGTAAGAAAAGACATTTATGCATAAATGTCACTAAAAGAGTAAAGGAACCTTAAGGAATTTTTGTTTTTGTTTCAGTTTATCAAGAGATAAGCTTTCTTTTAAAAATAAAATAAAATGAGCCCTGACTCAACTGATAACATTTGCCTTTCCCTTAGGCCCAGGACCCGGTCTCATGCCAAGCTCCGTGCTGATCACCACCTCCTCCTGAAATGCTCTGCTTCCTTGCCCCTGTTCTTCTTTTTTGTGTCTAAAGTCCTCCTTTGCCTTGAGGTGAGAAGAGGACAATTTGTTTAGTTTAACAAGCACTGAATGTGTACAATGTGTCAGGCACTGTGCTGGGCACTCAGGATTCAAAAATGATCAGGCTCCTGCTCTTTGAAAAGTTAACTGGAACTTACGAAGATCCAGAAAACACACACTGAGACTTGTGCCCTGTTATCTCATTTAATCTTTATCCTAAATTTTCTTGTGGTCATGGACTGTCTCTTTTGTTCTCTACTCTATTCCCAGCACCAAGCACAGTGTCTGGAACATGGTACCGGGGAAAACTGTTAACTTGTTAAATAACTGATTCCTACCTCCCTAAAAGGTAGGCATAATTTTTCTCCTTTTACAAACGAAGAGCTAAGGTTTACAGAAGAAAGGAGCCATCTCCAAGGTCTCCGGGTAGTGATGACTTAGGTCATTTGTTTCCAAACCCTTTGCTTTTTCTCCTATATAGCACTATGTACCACTTGACCTTTCTATATTCCATTTTCTCATCTGTAAATTCAGAGAAGCAGAGTGGATGATCTTCAAGCTCTAAATTTCATGGCCAACGCCCAAAGTTGCCATTGGAATGCATATACCTATTTTTCCTGGTAACAATTTTTTTTTTAACATGCATTTATCCTGCCCTCATTATCTACCAGTCTTTTTAACAAATGATGCTGGGCAAAGTGGATATTCATGTGAAAAAGAGTGAAAATGGACTCCTAGTTCACACTTTAACACAAAAATTAACTCAAAATGTACCAAAGACCTAAAAATAAGAACTAACACTATAAAAATCTTTAAGGAAAACTTAGGTGTAAAGCTTTATAATCTTGGATTGGGCAATGGTTTCTTACATGTAACATCAAAAGAACAAGCAACCAAAGGCAAAAAGTAGGCAAGTTGGACTTCATCAAAACTTAACACTTTTGTGCTTCAAAAAGCACTATGAAGAAAATGAAAAGACAAGTCGCAGAATAGGAGAAAATAGAGCACCTACAAATCAACAATAAAGAGACAAGAACCACAATTGTAAAATGGGCAAAGATTTTGAATAGACATTTCTCGTAAGAAGATAGGCAAATGTCTAACAAGCACACTGTTGCAGAAATGTTGCGAAATCAGACCAGCGAGAAACCAAGCACAGTCCGAAGAGTTGGAGAACTCAGGTTTATTACAGGTTTATTATGCAGGCAGTCCCAGAAGAGCTAGCACTCTGAAGATCTAGGCCCCAAGCTCAGGGGCAACTTTGCTTTTATATCCATGCTGTTACAGTTGGTATGGGCTGGTTGGTTGATTTGTCCTCAGGCGGTTACAGACCACGGGAGTTGCTATAGGTTATAGGCTCACACGGGAGTTGCTATGGGCCACGGGCAGTTACAGAAGATGAGATTTTCAGACAGGAATTTAGGCAATGCATTTGTTATCTAGAAAGAACAATCAAAGGGAAAGATGAGTCTTCAGTTGATCTTGAGATCACTCTGCCTTTCGGCCTATGCAGCAAGCATGTCTACAGAAGCAGAACAAAGAGCTGATTACAAAGTTAGCCATTTGAGTGGACAATTCCTCTTCAACACGAGAAGATGCTTAACATCATTAGACATTAGAGAAATATAAATCAAACTATAATACAATGCCACTTCATACACACAGAATTGGCTATCATGAAAAAGACCGACAATAACAAGAACAGTGAAGATGAGAAATTGGAACCCTCCTTTATTGCTGGTGAGAATGTAAAATCGTGCAATTACTTTGCAAAAGCAATTCCTCAAAAAGTTTAACATTGAGTTCCCATATGACCGAGCAATTTCATTCCTAGATACACATACAAATACACATACATATATGTATATGTAAATAAAAACATTTGTCCACACAAAAACTTGTTCATAAATTTTCATAGCAGTATTATTCTTAATAGTCAGAAAGTGAAAATAGCCCAAATGTCTATTAACTAATGAATGGATGAATAAAATATGGTATAGTCATGCAATGAAAAATTATTTGGCAATAAAAAAGGATGAAGTACTAATTCCTGCTATAACATAGGTGAACCTTGAAAATATTATACCGAGTAAGAGAATAAAATCCACATGACTGTGTATTATATGATTTTGTAACCTAACCATGTAGACTAGCATAGATTAACCTTTGTTTAGAGTTTATAACTTTGGTCAATTAACCTATAATACCACTTAGATCACTCTAAAATTTATAAGATTTGTATAATGTTATTTTGTAACTCATTGAAAGTTTCACAGAAAGACCGAGACTTAGTCAGATGTTTATGCATACCGATGCAATTCCTGATGTTGATGATTGCTAGAACTGTTTTTCAGGAACAAGCTCAGAATATTTTGTAGGACCAGGGAATGAAACAGCTGAAACCGCCTGGGACTAGCTGGGACAGCCAGAAAGACCCTCCAGTGACCTCTTCACAAACTTTCCTCATTATATCCTCATTATAATACTAAAATCTCCACCCGGGGTTGGGTGGGGGGCACCATTTTTGAACGGGTGGTGTATGTACAGCCATGTTTCCTGACTGTGCGTGCGCTGAAGTGTTGCCACCTAAGCATGCAATGACGAAGTCTTCCTTGATATTTATGCATGATTTCCCCTAATAAAGATGAATTGGATGCTCTGTTCAAGGACAAACTGCTCTGGGAATGATCCCCACTGTGTCCTTGCTTGCTGGTTCCCAATAAAGTTCCTTCTCATAAAATCATCTCAGAGTTGTCTTTTGGCCAACAACTACTAAGGATTTGGACCCCATTTGGTCTGGTAACAATTCTATTTATATAAAATGTCCAGAATAGGCAAATCCATAGAAACAGAAAATAGAATTGTGCTTGCCAAGGGCTAGGAGGAATGGGAGTGACTGCTAATGGGTACTGTTATGGCACAAACGATTCTGAGACCCACAGAGCCAATTGAAATTAATTATCATCCTTTATTAGCCGGCCGGCGACTGACTCTCTACCACGCAGGGTTAGAGGAGATCAGCCCCGAGCTTTCAGAGGAGGCAGCTGATAAAGCTTAAGACCATATCCTGGTGGTCTCCTGAACAAGCAAGCAGATTACAGAAGTGGAAGTTGGCTGTTAGCATATCTTTGCCCAGAACAACACCCTTAATTAACAAGTAAATGGATTACAGAAGCAGACATTGGCCATCTTCATATCTCATACAATACACTCCCTAAACCACACACAAACAAGTAGGACAACTTCTGGTATCTAAAGATATTTCTTCCCTGTAGCTGACTTAGCTAGTTGGCTCACTTGAAAATTTTCCACCCTTAACAGTACTGGGTTTTTGGTGGGGGTTGGTGATGAAAATATTCTGGAATCAAATAGTGCTAATAGTTGTACAGTTCTGTGAATAAACTAAACACCACCGAATTTTACACTTTAAAGTGGTGAATATTAGGGTATATAAATTATATATCAAGAAAGTTGTTTAAAATAAATCAAAATCAGTTGTGGAATCAAAAAATTTAATAGGAAAATGAGAAGAGCTAACTTAAAATCTCAGGCTAGCTCTCATTCTTAGCACCCAGAAGACTCTCCACCACCACTGTGGTAACAGTCACCCACAGAACTCTCAGTCCACATGGAGCCTCCAAGGTTGTTTTTCTCACTTAGTCAATGATTCTTCAACCCTCTCTGTAATTTTCCCACTGAATGATCATCTAGCCTATGGTTGACCAGGCTACTTTTCATGCTCTCCAAGCGTTTGTTGAATACCTGCTATGTGCTCAGCACTGGGCTAAGCCTTGAGAATACACTTTGCGTTGTTGTCTCCTTAATGTAATGAACATTTATTTGAATATTTGTAATGGGTAAGACATTTTACTGGGTTCTATTCATTGTTGGTTATTTATACTTCTTCTAGTTTGGATTATCCCAGAAACATCCTGAGACAAAGAATCGAGTGAAAATTGTATAGGTAACACTTGTAGAGAAGTGAGAAAGAGATCAGGGAACGAAAGGAAGTTAAGAAAGCAGCCAACTGCAGTGAGCAACTAAAGCATAATCCTAAGGGGAAACTCTGGGAAGAGGTGTAAAACACATGTCTGAAAAGAATTCCTTTCACCCAAGGGCCAGGGAGCTTCGATATTTATATGCTAATTTCTGAGTCCCAGGTTGAGCTGCTCACCCTTGAGATCTGTTAATTTCTCAGTACCTCTGGCTGCAGAAGGAAGCACGAGCCTTCCCCAGGTCTGAATTGGGAGAGAGGAGAACCCTCAAGCACAAATGTAGGTTCTGGCAATTGGTAGTTGTCAGGACTTGTGGTCCAGGGGATACGAGTGAGACACTGACAGCATCCACTGTAATACCTTCCTCTTCTACACACTGGAGAACCAGGAATACACAAAACGCATCTTAATGCCATCAATTAGGTGTAGATGAAGAGACTTAAAAAAAAAAATTTAAAAAGAAAATAAGTCTGGTAAGGCAATAAATACTCTTCCAATAGACCCAGAAAACAGATGTTATTTCTCAGCATATCCTTTATCAAACACTGGCTCTCCAAAAATACAGCCAAAACTACCTTTTAAAAAGGAAAAACAGAGTTGCCTGTTTATCATGGTAAGTAAGATCACAAACTGACAGAGTCTCAGCGGCAACTCAGCTACGAGAGGTTTGGGGGTTTTGAGGTCTAGTTTAAAGCAAATCTTCCTGTGCAGAAACCTGACTGGAAATGAGTAAGGATCACAATATAATAAAGTATGGTGAAGACTGAAAGGCGAGGGTTTTGAAGCATAGGATTCTGAGAGTCTTGGAAAGTAAATACTCGTTTGGTGTTAATTATTGAAAAGTTGAAGAGTCATGTGTTTAAATGGTTTTGAGGAGGAAATTCCTGAGGTGAGCAGAGTTATTTGCAAGTTTAATCTTCCTGAGCAAGTGTTTTCTGGAATAGTAAAGAAGTGTTAATGTTGCAGTAAATCTTGTGGGTGGAAATGGTTTCTGTTCGCACCTTCAAAATAAGGCTATGACATCACACGCTCAAATATAATTTAGTGAAAGCAGTTCTCTTGGAAGTCAACAATATGCAGTCCAGGGACTGAAAATTCTTGCAGAATAGGGAAACGACACTCATGCTTTCCATCTTTGAGAAGGAGCAGGATTAGAGGGGAGAGTATTGGAGTGCAGGGGTTTGACAGCTTCTGTGGCTGTCAGCAGGTCATATGGCCCTGGAGCCCCAGCGTGGGCCTGTGGGACAGGCTGAGAGCGGGGGACTTTCTGCTGTGATGTTTCCTAAATGACTCTTCTGCCGGAAATGTGCGCCTGTCTGGCTGCCAGGTTGGGCAGCACCTCTGACGCCAGAAAGAAAGTCAGCATTCTGGCCTCCTGCTCAGCCCCCTTTCTCATTCTCTACTTCTCCCTGGCTCATCCTGGCGTAGGGGCTGCCGTTCTATTTTGTGCTGAGGGCGTCCCTTGGATGTGGTGCTTGAGGGCAGCTGGAGCCTTGGGCAGGACGCTCTCTGCCACCCTGGCCTGATTGAATCACCAGAACCACAGGATATTCTCCATTGCTTCTCTCCAGGACCACATAATGACACTGCACTGCACTGTGCAGCCTCCTTACCTCATTAGCCTCTCACAGCACCCCTAGTAGGCAGGCAGGCAGGCAGGCAGGCAGGCAGAGTCATGCCTTCTCCCTGCCTGACAGAAGAAACAGAGGCTCAAGATCAAGTCAGCAAAAGAAGAGTCAGCAACCGGGTCTTCTGATTTAGTCTAGAGTTCCCTAAAATAATTGTGACAAAATCATTATGAAGCCTATGGCTCCACAAGGAAATAAGAGAAATTGCTTCTTCCAACTGGAAACATGGTTGCATCTGGCTGCTATCTGCATGGCCTTGCTGTTCAAACTTTTAAATATACAGGAGATTGTTTTTTCCATTATGAGAGTAATAATGCTTATTATAGAAATGTGCTTAGAAAGGGCATTTGAAGATTTTTGTGCTTCAGAGAGAAAGCCTTTTTTCCATTCTTGGGGGGAAGGTAACTTCATCTTAAAGGAATGAACACTCCTGGGGCTCTGTGTGTCCAAGGTCACACAGACCTTGTGTTTCTAAGGAAGGAATGAGCCCTTCTTACTCTCCAGGAGGATAAATAAGTCCTTATTTTCCTAAGGGCTTGAGGTTCTGGTTTAACAGGTCATCAAATCCTTTCCAACAAGCTGTTAAGCCTTAATCGTATAAAAAAAGAAGAAAGAGAGCTTTTGTTTACCAGATCTGGAGTGTGGGGGCTGCAGTGCTCCCAGCTGCTGGGGACTCCATCTCTGAGGGTGGTCTGAAGATGAGTTTGTTGTCCTCAAAGTCCCCAGTGATGGGACAGGGGAGTGAACAGTAGAGGAAGCATTCTGATGTCTAGGGGCTATGCTGGACCGGGGCCGACCTAACCTGCTGGGACCCAGTAGTGCAGATGAAAAGGTCCTCCAAACCCACAGTGACTGATTGACTGATCGAGGCGTGAGGGAGCAAAGCTTCCCAGAAACCTTGCTCTTCACACTTCCCTCAACACCCCTGGACACCTATGAGGTATCCTGGGAACCTGGTCCTAGCATGGGAGGTAGGGGGTTACAGATTCCCATTTCTGTATCTGGAAGTCAGACAAGACCTGCTAGTGCACCCTGAGCTGGGAAGTGAAGGGACGCGACACCACTGTTGCAACATACAGCAAGGCTGCAAGAGCTCTATGTGCTTCCCCATCCCAGCAAGCACAGTTCACAGTGCTGGGTCCCAGTCTCCACCGAGCCTGTCCACCTGTCACCCTCCCTGCAGATCAGGAGAGGTGGACTACAGCTTGCCCTCCAACACAGGCTGTGGCACCTGTGCGAATGCAGCTTTTAGCCAGAAGATTCCACCCTTGGAGAAGGTGAACCTCAACACTCAGTAGCACTGGTGACAGGGCACTTCGCCACCTCTTTTGTTCCCTAAATCTGTAGCGTCTTGGCAGCACTCGAAACTGGGATTTTGAAACCCAGGTACTTTTGTAGCAGAAGATGCTTATCATTGGACAGGATAGATCCTGGTGTCAGCAGAGCAGGGAGTGCAGAAGAGTGACAGCTGGGGGGTGGGGTGGGGGTGGGGAGAAGCTATTCAGAGCCCCTTATTTCTGAGAGTGAGCGCAGGGCACATGTTCCTCAGTCGCCTCTGCCTGGGTGCCCGAGTGGGATTGAATGGCTTTAGTGTGGCCCTCCAGCCATGTGGAAAATCTGGCAGTCTTGTGGCTACTGCCCTTCAGAGTTCTCAGATTCCTTCTACCGTGAGGCAAGGCAACGGGATGCAACTGGATCTCAGCTTGTGTGTTGTGAGGAGTACGTGCATTTCTGTTCAACGACGATGTATTCGATAATACAGAAGCCACACAGGGTAGCAGAATAATGGTCCCCCAACATTGTCCATGTCCCAATCCCCAGAACATGTGACTGTGTTAGGTTCCCTGGCAAAGGGAATCCAGATTGCAGGTGAAATTAAGGTTGCTAACCAAATGACTTCGAGATCAGGAGATCATTCTGGGTTATCCTGGTGAGCCTGGTGTAATAACAAGCCTCTTCCAGTGTGAAAGAGGGTGGCAAGAGAGGAGGTCGAAGCGATGCGATGTGGGTCTCTGTGTGACCCTGCTGACACCTTAATTTTAGTCCAGTGAGACCACGTTGGACTTCTAACCTGAAGAACTGTAAGATAATAAAGTTGTATTGTATGAAGCCTCCAAGTCTGTGGTAATCGATGACAGCAGCCATAAGAAATTGATTCACTGTGTATTAACGCATCCTTGAGAAATGGTTCTGAGTTTTCAGATCTCTGCTTCAAACAAGGCAATCACTCTTGCTCCATTTTCTAGATTCCTTCAGATCTTATGTTTCAAGAAAAAAAACATGTTCTTAAAAGTTCTTAAAAT